TTTTGTGTGGAAACCCTACATTTGAATTTGCGGTTTTCAGTTCCAAATCCCTAACCACTGACAATACTAAGGCTTTGTTAACCCTCTCCATCCATCTAACTGTAATCCCTACAACCTTAACCCATAGCCTAACTCTTGTTTAAAAAGACACTATAAAAATATATATATATACACACACACACACACATATATGTATAGCCTCTACCTTGTTGACTTGAGGTTTTACCAGACCTCTACCCACGATATACCCAAGGTATTTCACTTCCTCCATTTCCAAAGCACACTTTTCAGGGTTTACTGTAAATCCCGCTTTCCAAAGGGAGTCCAGCATTAACTGGACTTTGGGCAAGTGTGATTCCCAGTCTCTACTAAAAATGACTGTCATCCAAATATACCGAGGCATACTCCCGGTGAGGTCTTAAAACCCTATCCATTTTAAGACTTCGCTGGACTGTGGCTGGAGAAGTTTGCACTCCAAAAGGCATTATTTTGTACTGAAAACTCCCCTCTGGGGTAGAGAAAGTAGTTTTCTCTTTGGTAGCCTTAGTCAAGTGGATTTGCCAATACCCCTTGGTAAGGTAGTAATATACCTGGCGGGACCTAGTCTCCCAAAAAAAAACACAGCTACCCGGGGCATGCGGTAGCTGTGCAAATCTTGAAACTTCATTAAGTTTCCAGAAGTCATTGCAAGTCCCGTTTTGGCTTTGGTTCCAACACAATCGGGCTCGACCACTCACTCTGTGATTCTTCAATTATTCCCAGGTCTGACATCTTCACTTCTTCAGAGACAGCCTTTCTCTGAGCCTCTGGGATATGGTAAGGCTTGATGACATTAGTTAGACAGGGCAAGTCTGAAAATTTTTCTTTAATTCTCTGCAAGAACTACTTTACTTGCAGAGATTGCGCTTTAGACAGGGTATTTGCTACTTGGACACTGTCCACACCAACCTGGGGCTCAAGTCTTGCACCAGCCAGCAGTGCATCGGTTCCCTGTTCGTCCAGGGTTTTAATTAGTTGATATATCTAGTTCGGAACGAGCTTCCTTTTGCCCGCCTGGTGGACATTATAATTTACCTCCCCCACTATTTCCACAATTTTAAAGGGACCCTTCTATCTGGCCAAGAATTTACTTTCCACAGTGGGAATCAGCACAGCCACCCGATCCCCCCACTTGGAAGAAAGTACTTTAGCTAACCTATTATAGATCCGCCCTTCAGCCTCGTGGCCTTAACCAGTGGCATCACACTGGCGATCCTTTCCTGCATCTGGGAGACATATTCAAGCACACTCTTATGCTGAATAGGTTTACCTTCCCATTCCTCCTTGACAAGATCAAGCAACCTGCAGGGTCTCTGCCCATACACTAAGTCAGGGGTCTTAAACTCAATTCACTCAGGGGACACTCAACAATTTTTTTTCTCTCATGGGGGCCGCTTGCCAAATTTCATACTTTAAAATAAAATGTAACTATATTCGGTTTGGTACTACAGACACTAATATACACACATAATACACTCCCTCCATACACATGAAAAAATACCCCCCACACACACACACACAAAAAATACATATACATACATATATATATACACACACGCGCGCGCACACACACACACACACACACACACACACATATATATATATATAT